TCTTGGCTCCCTTTAGGTAACACCTCCACGCCTTGAAGGCTATGACGATCGCTAAGGCTTCCTTCTCATGGATGGGTAGTTCAGTTCTGCTCGTGTAGCTTCTTACTGAGGTAGGCGATGGGCTGCAAACCGCGTCCGTGATCCTGTATCAGTACTGCTCCGACTGCTTGGTCACTAGCGTCTGCTTCCACCACGTAGTCCTTGTCTAGGTCCGGTAGGATGAGTACTGGCGCTGTAGTCAGTGCTGTCTGTAGTTTCTCCATGGCTTGCTGATGAGGAGTATCCCATTCGTAGGGCGTATCCTTTTTCAGTAGGTCGGTCTGTGGCGCTGCTATCTTAGCGTACTGCGGCACGAACCTGTTGTAGTTTCTGGCGAAGCCTTGGAACTGCTGCAACTCCTTCACGTTCTCCGGTACTTTCCATTTCTTGACGGCTTCGATCTTCCGCGGGTCCACGTGTACGCCCTGGCACTCACCATGTGCCCGAGAAACTGCACCTTCTTCAGGGCGAAGTCGCTCTTCGACAGCTTCATGTAGAACTTGTTTTTCCGCAGGATCTCGAACACCTTCCGCAGATGCTCCACGTGCTCCTTCATGTTCTTGGAGTAGATGAGAATGTCGTCCAGGTACACCACCACGCACTCGTCTAGCAGGGGCCGTAATATGTGATTCATCTCCGCCTGAAACGTTGCTGGTGCGTTGCATTCCGAACGGCATCACCAAGTATTCGTAGGAGCTGTATCTGGTACGGAACGCTGTCTTGTGGACCGAGTTGTCTGCCATCTTGATCTGCCCGTAACCCGACCGTAGGTCCAGCTTCGAAAAGACTGTTGCACCATGCAGTTGGTCCAGTATGTTCGTCTATGCACGGTATGGGGTATTTGTTTCAACTGTCTGTTTGTTTCAGTGCGCGGTAGTCGATGCACATCCGTTAACTGCCGTCTGGTTTTGGGTGAAGAGGACTAGTGCACCGTAGGGGAGGTGGATGGGCGGATCAGTTGTCTATCCAGTAGATACTCTATCTGTTTCTTCATGCCTGTCAGCTCGGTCGGACTCAGTCGGTATGGTGCGCGTGGACAGGTTTCACACCTGGTTCCTCCACGATCTCGTGCTCGTGGCTGCGTGCTGGAGGTACGCTTGCAGGTAGGGCATTATATCCTTGTATTTCTCCAAGACGTCCTTCACTGCTACAGGTAGCTCTGCGTTCGGTTTCTCCTCCTCTGCTGCTGCCATGACCAGTGCTAGGTAGCCCTTGTTATTCTCGTTCACCGTCTGTTCAAACCGTGCCAGTGTTGTTTCAGGAACGTTCCCTGTATCCGTCCAGCTTCGCAGTTCCACTCGTTCCCGTTGTTGTAAATGCACGCCTTCCTATTGATCCAGCCGATCTCGGGGTTGAACCGCTTCAAGAATCTCGCCCCAAAAAATATCTAAACCCTTGATGTTCGTGATCGGCAATGTCCGCTTCCACCTCAGCGCCCCTATGTGCAGCTGCAGTGATGCTTCACCGTGGATGGGAAGTTTTCGTACCGTCCACCATTGTTGCCGTGAACTTGGTCTCCTCTGAAGACTCTCCAATTTTCTCCAACGTCCCGCGGTCGGACACCGAGTGGGACGCACCACTGTCCACCATTGCCTGGAGGCGTCGCCCGTTGCAGATCACCTCGAGTAGTAGTGGATGTTGCTGCTCAAAGTAACCGTAGAATGGTCTCGCTTATAGGACCAAAGGGTACGTCGAACAGATCATCCCTCGGTCTTGCGCTCGAAGTGGTGCCGATCGCTCCGTGCCGAATGATATGCTCGGCATGCGTCGTCGTGTTTCGGGTTGATCTCGCATCAACGCATCGAATCTCTCTGCTGCACACACCATGTCGCGGTAGTTGTTTTAGTTCGCGGTTATCACCTGTCGCCGGACTTCCATTTTTAGCCCCTCAGTATACGTTTGGATTTTTTCCCCTTCGGTCAGGTCGGTAATTCGGTTGAAGAGGCTCTCCATCTGCTGCGTGTACTGTGTTACACTGCCGAAGTGTTTATGCCGCTGAATTTGCCGCCGCACCATGTAGCTGGAGTTGATTGGTTCGAAACGTTGAATTAAAGCTTCCCGAAACTGCGTCCATGACCCCTCGCCTCGGATCTCAATGCTGTTGTAAATCCTCTCGAGCGCCGGGCCTCGTAACAGTGTCGCAGCGAGCCGAATCCGCATTGCATCGTGTGTCGGGGTCATACAACCAACGGCCTCGAAGTAAATTTCGAGGGTCGCAATGAATCGACGGACGTCGGTGTCTCTCGCATTCGAATTGAACGTCTCTGGTTGCCTCGGATGTGCCGCATCAAGATTCACTGTAGTCACTGTCGCTGCTAGCTGGGTGAAGTGTCGGTGTCGCCGCTCCTGCTGTTACCGTCGCTGCTGCATTCGCTGTTGCGTCCGCTGCTGCTGTGGCGGCTGCCGACTGGTTCACGAGAAGCTGCTCTATTCGCTGGAGGTGCCGCTCGCGTCTGGTGTAGGCCGGTGTGTAACTCCGTAATTTTTCGTACGGAATTACTGTCAAACGCATATGCTATAGTCTGTGTAGGCTGTAGTGGGGTAGACACACTTTTAGGTTTTCCTACTTGTACCCACCTGCTTGCTAGTTCATTCATTCCTCATTTCTTCATATGGTATAGAGCAGGTTCCCTAGTGGGAAACGCTTCCTAGGGCCCACCACTGAAAATCGAATTTTTATTTTTTCCTGACCGGAGCGCGAGTCGACCTCGCCCGAGGCGCGCCTCGTGGCCCGCCCTCCTCGTCGCGTCCCCTGCCCTTAGCGGCCTAACGCGCCCTCCTAGAGGCCCCTCTCCCGGCCCCTCGCGCCGCCCTTAGCGGCCCCCGTCGCCACCCCTAGCGGCCCCATCGCCACCCTTAGCGGCCCCGTCGCCGCCCTTCGCGACCTCGTCGCCGCCCGTTATGGCCCCGTCGCCGTCCTTCGCGGCCTCGTCGCCGCCCTTCGAGGCCCCTCGCGGCCCCGTCGCCGCCCCTAGAGGCCCCGTCGCCGCCCTTCGAGGCCCCTCTTCGGCCCCTTTTCGGCTCTGTCGCCGCCCCTAGCGGCCCCGGTCGCCGCCCCTATCGGCCCCGTCGCCGCCCCTATCGGCCCCGTCGCCGCCTCTAGCGGCCCCGTAGCCGCTCCTACCGGCCCCGTCGCCGCCCTTTGAGGCCCCTCGCAGCCCCTTCGCGGCCCTTGTCGCCGCCCCTAGCGGCCCAGTTGCCGCCCCTAATCGGCCCCGTCGCCGCCCTTTGCGGCTCCGTCGCCGCCCTTTGCGGATCCGTCGCCGCCCCTATCGGCCCCCGTCGCCGCCCTTCGCGGCCCCGTCGCCGCCTCTAGCGGCCCCGTCGCTGCCCTTCGCGGCCCCGTCGCCGCCTCTAGCGGCCCCATCGCCGCCCTTTGCGGCCCCTTCGCGGCCTCTTCTCGGCCCCATCGCCGCCCTTCGTGACCACCGTCGCCACTCTTCCCGGCCCCTCCTTGGCTCCTCCGCCACCAGCAGCAGCCGCCGCCAGCAGCAGACGCCGCCGCCACCAGCAGCAGCCAACAGCAGCAGAAGCCGCCGACAACAGCGGCGGCCACCAACAGCCAGCAGCCGTCGCGGCCCGACAGCAGCGACTGCCGCCGACACTGGACAGCATGGAGCTGGCCGCCGCGGTCGCGGCTCTGTCCCTGCCGACGCGCCTCGGCCCTGCCCCCACCGCTTGCCGGCCCCTACCTACCAGCCGTGGTGAGAGCACTGCCGAGCAACGCCTGCTACTGCTGCCCCTAGCCTGCTGCCACTGCTGTCATGGCTACCCCTAGTGTTCTAGTCTTTGATGCTGAGGGTCAGGCTGTTGACTATGAGGTCTGGGTCGATGATCTAAGCTTTTCCTACAGTGCGATAGGAAGGACGGTCTCTCCCTGTTCGATCTCACGTCTGGCGCCTCTACTGCCCTGCTACCGATGCTGACAGCACTGTTCGCTCACAGTGGGCCACACTCGATGCTGCTGTCCGTCTTGCTGTGCGTAGTCACTTGCCGTCCACTGAGCACGCGCACTTTAGTCAGTATAAGAGTGCTAAGACCTTGTACGATGCTGTAGTTGCACGCTACTCTTCCCCTGCCACTGCTGCCCTTAGCCGCCTCATGCTGCCGTACCTGTTTCCTGACCTCGCCGCCTTTCCCACTGTCACTGACCTCGTTACGCACCTTCGCACTAGTGACACCCGCTACCGGCGCTGCTGCTTCCTGCTGAGTTCTGTGCCAAGAACCCCCCCCCCATGTACATCACCCTCTACTACATAGTCACTTGGCTCCCTGACTCCCTTCCCTCGGTCAGGGACCACTTCCTCTCATGTTTGCCCCACCAACACTCACCGTTGACCTCCTCAAGGAGCGCCTCCTGGCAGCTGAGAAGAGTATAGTCGCTGTAGGAGCTTCTCGTGGTGACCCTCGTGCCCCCGTCTTTAAGGGGTGCTCCCCCTCCCCCCTTTTGCCCTCTGTTGCCTCTGCTGCTGCCGTCGACTTCGTTGGCACCGAGTCGGTCGGCGATGCGTCTGCCCCTAGCGGGCGACGCCGCACTGGCAAGGGCAAAGGGGCAAGGGCGCTGGAGGGGCTGGCGGGGGCGGTGGAGGTGGCGGTGGAGGAGGCGGAGGGAGTGGGGGTGGTGGTGGGAGTGGTGGCGGGGGTGGGGGCTTCGGTGGCGGCGGTGGAGGCGGAGGCGGCGGCGGCAGTGGCGGTGGGAGCGGAGGAGGAGGCGGTGGCAGCGGTGGCGGAGGTGGCGGCGGAGGAGGTGGAGCTAGTCGGGGTGGCTCTGCGCAGCGTGGCGGCTTCGGTGGTGGGTCAGCGCCAGCAGCAGCAGCGCGCTTGTGAGACTCCGCCCCCCAGCAGCTTCGTGAGTGGTACTCAGCGCATCAGCGGGTGGGGGTGGTGGTCCATGTGCCTACGTCCTGCGTACCGGCGACCGCACTAGTGAGCCGTGCGGTGGCCCGCACACCACCCAGCGCTGCTTCGGCCGTCTGACGGACCCTTGGCGTCTCCAGTTCCCTGACGCCACTGAGATCCCCCGCTGGGGCGAGCCGCTTAGGTCGAGGGTTGCTGTCTTTGATCTCGATTATGATGCCATTCTTGCTGCCATGTATGTTGTGTCTACTAGTGATGAGGGTGATTGTTACCTGTGTGTTCCGCCTGACCCGGGCATTGAGGCTGCTGCTCTAGGTGCTAGTGCGTCTGCTGCCCAAGGTGCTGGTAAGTCTGCTCTCTCAGGTACCACGTCGGCTCAGGCCTTACACACCTTCACCCTTGACTCGGGTGCTTCCCACTCCTTCTTTCAAGACCGCACCCCGCTTACGCCGCTTAGTCGGCCGGTTGCGGTCTCCCTGACGGACCCCTCTGGGGGTCCTGTCCTTGCCCACTTCTCCACTGTCTTACCGTGTGCCGCAGCCCCCTCTGGCACCCTGTCAGGTCTCTACCTCCCCTCGTTCTCTAACGAACTTGGTTCTAGTGGAGGCCTTGCTGAGCGTCGTGAGCCTGCGTCTCGTCCTGCGTCGCCTGTTCGTGCTGCTCGCACTAGTAGTCGTGCTCCGCGTCCGCGTCCTCCTGCGGTCCCAGGCACACACCAGATGGCACTGCGTCCTTCCACTGCTCCTCTGTGTGTCCTTTTGCCGTCTCCTCCAGAGTCCTCTCTTCCTACTCTTGCTGACCCGGAGTCTGACTCTCTTCGTGCTGCCAGTCCTACTGTCACGCGTCTCCTGGCTACTGTTGTCATTGACCCTTCGTTTGAGTCCACTGCTGCGTCTGCTTTGGTTGCTAAGCTTGTCGACTTTGCTGCTCGCTGTCGTCTAGACTACGCTGCTAGTCTTGTCACTGAGTCTGAGTCTGTCTGTCCTCCGTCCGTCGGGGGTGAGTGTGCTCTTAGCACGGACGTCCTTGAGGACAGGCAGGAGGAGTTCCAGTGTTTTGCTACTGCTTTGCCTCATCTCGTGTCCATGCTGATTGCCCCTGAGGGAGACCCGGATGCACCAGACATCCCGACTCCTCGATCGTACGCTGAGGCGATCAAAGGTCCCTACTCCTCACAGTGGTAGTCAGCCATGGACGCAGAGATGGCTACCTTGAAGTCCACAGGCACCTACGGTCGACGAGGTTCCCCCACCTGGGGCGAACATCGTCAGTGGCATGTGGGTTTTCAGGGTGAAGCGGCCGCCGGGTTCTCCGCCTGTCTTCAAGGCGCGTTACGTGGCTCGAGGCTTCAGTCAGCGGCAGGGAGTTGACTACTTTCAGACCTTCTCTCCCACCTCGAAGATGACCACTCTTCGGGTGCTACTACACATAGCCGCTCAGCGTGACTACGAGCTTCACTCTCTTGACTTCAATGCTGCTTTCCTACAGGGCAGCCTGCACGAGGAGATCTGGCTGCGCCGCCCACCTGTCTTCACTGGGTCTTTTCCTCCTGGTACCCAGTGGAGCCTTCGGCAGCCAGTCTATGGTCTCCGCCAGGCGCCCCGTGAGTGGCACGACACACTGAGGACCACACTTGCGGCTCTTGGGTTTTGCTCCTTCTACTGCCGACCCGTCGTTGTTTCTACGCACCGACACCTCTTTGCCGCCGTTCTACATCCTCGTGTACGTCGACGACTTGGTCTTTGCCACTGCTGACACTGCTGGACTCGCCCACGTGAAGTCCGAGCTGCAGAAGAGACACACGTGCACAGACCTGGGTGAACTGCGCAGCTACCTTGGCTTGCAGATCACCCAGGACAGAGCACAGCGCACCATTACCCTGACTCAGTCACACATGGTGCAGCAGGTCCTTCAGCGCTTCGACTTCACGTACTCCTCGCCTCAGGCCACTCCTGTGTCTACTCGCCACTCGCTCTCAGCTCTGCCTTCGGATGAGTCCGTAGAGCCGAGTGGCCCGTACACAGAGCTTGTTGGCTGCCTCATGTACCTGATTGACCTGCACTCGACCTGACCTTGCATACCCTCTTAGCATCTTGGCGCGCTATGTTGCTCCTGGGAGACACAGACCTGAGCACATGGCTGCAGCGAAGAGGGTGTTGCGCTACTTGTGCAGTACGTCGGGCATGGGGCTAGTGCTTGGAGGTCGACGTTCAGTGGTCCTCACAGGTGAGGCAGACGCTTCTTGGGCTGACGACCAGGCTACGCAGCGGTCGTCACAGGGTTACACCTTCAGCCTTGGTTCCGGCTCTGTTTCGTGGCGGTCTACCCGCTCGTCTTCTGTTCTCGGCTCCTGCTGTGAGGCTGAGATCTACGCGGGGGCCATGGCTGCACAGGAGCTATGCTAGCTCACCTACCTGTTGACTAACTTAGTAGAGCCGCCTCGTTCTCCTCCAATTCTGTACGTAGACAACAAGGCCATGCTGGCCTTGTGTCGGGAGCACAGACTGGAGCACAGAACGAAGCACATTGCTCTTTGCTACTTCCTTGCTCGTGAGCTGCAGCAGCGTGGTCAGCTGCGCCTTGCTTACGTGGCCTCTGAGGCCAACACTGCTGATATCTTTATCAAGGCACTTCCGCCTTGTGATCATCAACGCTTTTGTACGATGCTAGGTCTTGTGCCTACTTGGCCTCACTTGCTCACTTCTTGACCTTGCTTGTACTGTGATCTTTCTATACCTGCACTTGCTTGTTTACCTTTATATATGATCTTGCATGTGAACTGGCCTTGAGGCCTTGAACTTGTGCTCGGAATGTGTGGTGACGTTGTGATCCACCGTGAGCTTGCTCTGCTTTGCTTGACTGGTCTTGTGACCTCTTGTTCTCCCCCACTTTGCCTATGGGAGTGGGTCAAACTCATATGCTTTAGTCTGTGTAGGCTGTAGTGGGGTAGACAATATGGGGTACAACACTTTTACGTTTTCCTACTCGTACCCACCTGCTTGCTAGTTCATTCATTCCTCATTTCTTCACGATTATCACCATTTTCCTCCATTTAGCGATTTACGGAAGATTTGCGACGAAAATAATTGGATTCTAGGCGCTGGTCATCTTACTGTGAGTCGAATTGACTGTAGAATTGACAAGCGCTGATTCTGTAGGTCGCGTAATTCTTCCTTAGTCGAAATTCGCGTCCGATCTCGGCTGTTGAGAAGAAATTCGTTCCGACGCTCCAAATTCCAAATGTTTTGGGCGAAATTCTCGAGGCCGTTGAGATTCGAATTGATCCGACGGTCGAAATTCCAACTTTTTCGCCACTGGACCGGAGAAGTGTTCAAAAACCGGTTCGAGGGGGACGTTAGAAAATAGCGCGGAACTGGTTTACGTACCCGAAATCGGCGCTTTCCGCCGTCGCCCCCGCGGTTTTAAAAGCTAGGTTTTAGCGGTCGAAAAACTTCGCTTGCAAACAGGCTCTGATTACCAAGTGTGAGGATCTAGGATTGAGCTCAGAAAAGAGAATGTAAATTGAATGATCACCTGGGTACAACACGAGGCTATATATAGGCTCGACACAAGGCCCCATAACCAGGTGTTACGCGAATGTTCCGCGGGTCGCGAAGCGTCCCAAACAGATCCTTCCCGAATTCGGTAGAAGGCAATTCGGTGGCAACCGAAAAGCCAGAATTTGGTGCACGCAACCTAGCTCGGTGCTATAACTAAAATTAAATATAGGAAAGCACCTAGCCTAGGAAATCAAGCTGTTCATGCATGCATATTATTTTCCTATGCTAGAAATAGCATGATAAAGTAAAGGCAAGCAAGCATAGCTGGCATAAGCCGTCGTACTCTCACACTACTGCTACTGCTGCTACTGCTGTTACTGCTGCTACTGCTGTTACTGCTGCTACTGCTGCTACCGTGGCTACTATTGCTACTACTGCTCCCTGTGGTGGCCAGATGCAGCTCTAGCAACGTCCGCGTGAGTCCCTCACACCCTAGCAGCTTCGTGAGTGGTACGCTAGTTGGGGTTGTAGGGGTGGTTACGCTGCTACTGCTGTTACTGCTGTTACTGATGCTACTGCTGCTAATGTAGCTACTACCGCTACTGCTGCTCCTGGCGGTGGCCAGATGCAGCTCTTGCGATGTCCGCGTGAGTCCCTCATGCCCCAACAGCTTCGTGAGTGGTACGCTAGTTGGGGTTGTAGGGGTGGCCGTGCTGGGAGTCCCCCTGGAGCGGGTCGTTCGCGAGCTTCTTATAGTGACCAGGTGCAGCTGCTGCAGCGTCCGCGCGCGGTCTTTTCGCCCCAGCAGCTTCGTGAGTGGTACGCTCAAAGTGGAGGGTCACGGAGTACTGTTCGCTGCCCGTACGTCATTCGCACTGGTGCTCGGCCTGGTCAGCCTTGCAGGACGATTGGTCACACATAGTCCCGCTGCTTCTCCCGTCTGAGCGACGCATGGCGTACAGAGTTTGGCGACGCGGCTGAGCTCCCCGAATAGGTGGAGCTGCTTAGGCAGAGGGTAGATATCTTTGCTCTTGACCATGATGCTATCCTCACTGCCATGTATGCATTGCCTACCAGTGCTGAGGGTGCCTGTTACCTGTGTGTGCCGCCTGACCCAGGCATAGAGTCTGCTGCTCTATGTGTTGGTGAGGCTACTGCTCTAAGTGCTGGTGCGTTTCCTGCTCCAGGTGCGGGTGAGGCTGCTGCTCTAGGCGCTAGGGAGTCCACTCCTCCAGGTGTTGGTGAGTCTGCTCTCTCTGGTACTACGCCTGCTGCGGCCTTGCACACTTTCACCCTTGACTCGGGTGCTTCCCGCTCCTTCTTTCGCGACTGCACCACACTCTCGCCGCTCAGTTGGCCAGTGGCACTCTCTCTGGCTGACCCCTCTGGGGGTCCGGTCCTTGCACACTCCTCCACGGTTCTGCCGTGTCCGGCGGTCCCGTCTGGCTCTCTGTCTGGCCTCCACCTCCCCTCGTTCTCCACGAACTTGGTGAGTGGAGCTGACCTTCAGGACGCGTGGGTTGACCAGTTCACTCCTGGAGGTCAGCGGGTGACCCACTGTTCGTGTACTCGGACGGGCCGGCACCTGGCCACGTTCACCCGTCAACCTAGGTCGAACCTGTACACCCTGACTACCGTGTCTCCTCCGGTTGCTCAGTCTGGCCAGGTAGCTGCGTCGGGTCAGGTGTTTGCTGCAGCGCCCCGGTCTGGTCCTGAGTCTGCCCCCTGCTCGTGTCGCCTCCTGTCTCACAAGACTCTCCTCTGGCACCACTGCCTTGGTCACCACTCCCTGCCTTGTCTCCGAGGCATGACCTCCCGTGTCCTTGTCACTGGTCTTCCCCGGTCTCTCCCTCCCCTTCCCCCGGGGCCTGCCCCTACCTGCGTTCCTTGCGTCGAGGGGCGGCAGCGCACCGATCCTCACTCCTCCGAGTTCCCTCCGTCGGAGGCTCCCCTGCTGACGCTTCACATGGACGTGTGGGGCCCAGCCCGTGTCCATGGCCAGGGTCACGAGCGCTACTTTCTGCTGGTCATTGACGACTACTCGCGTTACACCACCGTCTTCCCCTTGCGCCGCAAGGGTGAGGTCACTGAGGTGCTGATCGACTGGATCCGCGCTGCCGGTCGTCACCTCAGCGAGAGTTTCGGCTCGGACCTTCCTGTTTTGCGTCTGCACTCCGACACAGGTGGAGAGTTTTCCTCCGACCTTCTGCGAGCCTTCGGTCGTGCGGAGGGCATCCGCCAGACGTTCATGCTTCCGACCTCTCCGCAGCAAAATGGGATTGCTGAGCGCCGCATTGGCATGGTCATGAAT